TTTCTGGCCTTCTGGATGTAGTGGTGGAGTTGACAATAGAAGATTTAATAAAACTTCCACTCCACCCTTCTTTTATACCATAATATGTTTTGTCTCTGGGATAGGCTTTTATGGCCATTGACTTTGGTACAGTGACCTACAGTATACCCATATTTCTTTCAAGCCCAGAGTCAACATTTTTAAGCTAAACCTAATTTTTAAATTTCAAAATATTAAGTGTATAATTTGTGCATATATAAACATATATATGTATACACATATATATTATTGTCCCAATGTATATTTGAGGGCAATGTAAATAAAGTTGTATGAGAAGAGTCTGGAAACATTTGTGGACTTTTTACATTAACTTTGCAGCAGGTTGCCATTTTCCTATAATACAACCTACAAGTATAATTCACAACCTCTGTAGCACCATTACTCTCTACTCTTCCCCTGCATGAAGTACAAAAAGTTCCCCTAAAATGACATCATTATCAGTGTCATGCTCTTTTTTGGAGGTGGGGGACTGGCCACGTGGGGATCCGAACCTGTGACCTTGGTGTCATAAGGTCCTCCTGCTCTTGCTTCTGATCAGAGTCAGAAGTGGAAAAGATAAAGCCAGAACTGTTGTGAAGTATTTACTGTGCTTGTGCAGAACTTGAGAACTGCTCTTCAGCACTCCCCAAAACACACAGTAGGACAGGGAAGCAACCTGGCCAGGCCACGCAATAAGCCCTAGGCACTTGGGAGTGAATTCCTCCTTGGGAATAAGGGATGAGAAAAAGAGAGCAGAGATCACTTAAGCTAGGGACCCCAGAGCCAGGGAACTAAAAACTTAATTTTATAAGTTTATTTGTAAGTTTATATCAGTAAAAGGATGGAATGAAGTCATCCTTCAGTATCTTAGGAGGATTTGTTCCAAGACCCTGCTGGATACCAGAATCCATGGATACTCAAGTATAGTGAGCCCTCTGCATCGGCCGATTCAACCAATCACAGACCAAAAACATGGTTAGCTGCCTCAACTAATTCCCTATCCAGAGTTCCACAGCAGCACTGGGACTTAACCTGGGCCAAGACTATCCAGTGAGGCCAGTCATCCAGAAAAGCTGAGCCCAAACAAAAGTCAGCAGAATTCTGCAGAAATCTGGATTGGCCCATAAGGCTCTGTAGCCAAGACAGATGCAAGTTCAGGTTAGGCAATAAGACTACTTCCACAATTCCCAGCACTACTGCCTAGTCCTAGATTAAACTTTGTCCTATAATCAGAAGAACAGGTAAGTAATTTTGGACATGTTATATTGGAAGTGCCATGTTTTATTTCCATTGAGGTGGAAACATCAAATGGGCAGCTGGATATGAGAGTCCGGAGCTTCGGAAAACAAGTCCAAGTCAGAGATACATATTTAGTAGTTAGCAGAACACAGTCAAATGGTAAGTGAAACCAGGGTAGTGGAGGAGTCTTGTCAAAATCTACCACCCATGTTAAAAGGGCAGAAGAAAAAGGAAGTGGGGAAAGGGAGGGAGATGCCCATTTCCTTAGCTGATTTTAGGACTAAGTTAAGAAATACATGAAAAGCCCTTCATTTCACTTCCCTACCTCAGTGAAGCCAATGCCTTTCCTTCCTTCCCTACCAATCTTTTTCAGGCTTTCTTCAAATTATACTTCCAGCTGCACACACTTGCCATCTCTCACAAATACAAAGTGGTGAAGGATCCAAAAATCAACTACACTTGGCCTTGGAGGACACCTGCACTTAATGTTCTAGAAAATCCAGTGAAAGCAAAATGATTTCTCCAATTTCCCCATCATGGCTCTCTGCCTAACTCTCCTCTTTATTCTATTCCAGAAATAGTTTATCTCTTTGACTACTACAAAGCAGAGTTACATTAAATCTCCCTTGTTGCAGTTAGGGTGGTTAAGTGTTTAGGTTTAAAAAGAATGCAGCCTATAAGGAAAATTAACATATTAAAAGAGGAAGCCAGATGTCAAAATACTGAGTAACATGGGGTTGTCAATAATGAAACAAGCACTGCAATATGGAGAATCCCCGTGCCAGTAAGTAACCTCAAGGTAAATTTTAAAATATGTTTCAGATACAAACTTTCAACCCTCATCTATGACCTATATTTTTTCCTTCCACCCACTACATCCTCTTCTATTGAAAGTAACACAAAGGGAAAACAATTTTGAAATCAAAGTGAGACGTATACACCCAGCTGCAACTTCAACAAGATATCATCATGACTAAGCTCACTTGACTCATAACTTTCCTAAATTATGCAATTTCATAACAGTTCAATTGAAATCATTTTCAGTGTCCTATGGAGTACTCCAAAAGTCAGGCTTCTATTTATTATATATTTTTTGCCCTTCATAAAAAGGTTATCTATGCCTAATCAATTTTTTTTTTTTTTTTTTTTTTTTTTTTTTTGCAGTGGCTGGTGTAGGGATCCAACCTCTTGACCCTGGTGTTCTCAGCACCATGCCCTAATCAATATTTAATACTGCAGTTATGGTAACACTTACAGGACAAGTAGGCTAATAAACAATAAACCATGCTCTTTAACTATGAAACTATCTGTTGGTCTTTACCAACTCAATCTAAATAATGGTAGGGTTAAGTTAAGCAACAAATTACATCCTGCCCTATCAAACACAAAAAAAGTCATTTTTCAAAAGAAAAAATACCCACAAGGCATATATTCATCATTAGCTGTATAAACATTGACAACTCACTGTACCTTTCTGAGACTCATTTTTCCTGCCTCTTTATTAAAAGTACTAGACATGATCTCCAAGGTTCATTTCAGTCTCTAAGTGCCATGATCAGGAGCGTCTTTACTTTCCCTCTTCACCTACCTAACCTGGGCTCTTTCCAGGAAGCCTTCACTAACTTTCCCAGACTAGGTTCAGTGCACCTTTGTGATGATAACATCTGCCATAATGTGTTCTGGAGTTCTCCCTGTTATTTTATGTCTTGAAGATGAATATTGCCTGATGTTTGCATTTCCAATGCCATGCATAATACGTGGCAGACAGTATATGTTATTCAAATATCAGGTGAATAAACAAGTTAACTCTATGCATTTTTCTGGCACAAATGGTATTCACTTTGCAAATAAAAAACAAAACACAGGCCGGCCCGTGGCTCACTTGGAAGAGTGTGGTGCTGATGGCACCAGGGCCACGGGTTCAGATCCCTATATGGGGATGGCCAGTTGGCTCACTTGGGAGAGCATGGTGCTAGCGACACCAAGTCAGGAGTTAGGATCTTTAAAAAACAAAACAAAACAAAAACCTTATGATCTGCAAATATTGTTGTAAATCAATCTAGAAAATAATGTTTTTCTGTATACTATATGCTTCCCTAGGATTCATGCTTATTTTCCACCTGTCAACAACAGCAGGATATAAGTGAAAGTTGTGTTAGGGTAGCAAAAATATAATTTTAGTATTTTGAAATACATGTTTATTCTTTTTATTAACATTTATCCTTAATATGAAGCAGATCTCTATCCTAACCCTTCATCCTGACCACCCCTACTTCAAAATTTTCCTTCAATTTGTATTGACTTACCACATCTCAGCACTTCGTAACTGGCTCTCCTGCCTTTCATTCAACTAGTCACTTGTTATCCACTTCAAGACAACTGCAAGGCAGCTATTCAGGTGAGAACACTCAAAACCTTTAATATTTGTATCAATTACAATTTCTCTCCATTAAATAATAAAAAAAAAAAGCCAGGTAACAAACTAATGCAAAAATTAGCCATGAAGAAAACCCACATGGCATCTCAATCTGTACAATACTATATATGGAATCATGGTGAGATTTGGGGACCAACACAACCATGCAAAAACGACAAGCCTACAACTTCCCACACTGGGAAAATATACTGTTTCACACTTTATTACGAATTAATCAAAGTGTCTTATATATCAACTTTTAAAAAGTAAAGGACCCAAAATACAGTATTAAGTTTACACAAACTAACTTCCACCGAACTTCACTTCTCTTAAAGTGAAGTCCATCCTTGAAATCCAATCTCCCTAGAAAAATCTAATTAAATAGGAACGCTCTACTTTCTAGGCTCTCAACTGATCAAATTGGTCATCTCTAATAATTTGCTGAAAATCGCAAGGAAAGCATTCACAGTGGCAGCATCACGAGTTGGCTCGGCAGGCCTCCCACCTCCAACCCCCCAAGCATCTCCAATAAGCTACGATTTAAATAACTAAGAACGTGCTTATGCTTAAGATGTTCACAAAACGAAATTCCAACATTCCAACTCCAGTCGCCACCTTCCAACCAGATGACTGCGTAAGTACTTCCTACGGTAGAAATTCTGGTTCGCTCCTTAAGAGCGCCAGGAAGAACTCTGGAGCTCTGGGCCCTTCCTCTCCTCTACACACATACTAGATTTGCTCCTTAGGAGGGCAGGGACCTTGACCACATCTCCCTCTCCAAACACGAATCAGCCGCCCCCCACGCCCCGCCTTACCTTCTTCCCAAATACATTCTAGAAACACAAACCCAGGGAGCAGACCCAAGCAACCAACCCAGGGAGCAGACCCAACCCACCCAGGGAGCAGACCCAACCCAGGCCCTCGGTCACCAGCGGGAGGCCCCTGCAGTACCCTCTCCCCACTCAGAGGAACAAGTCCGTCTCCTCTACTCTTGCCCTCAACTCAGAGAGCCACACCCCCTTCCTCCACTGAAAACTAGGGACGCGCTACCGTCGCCTGTTCACCCAACCCAGGCCCTCGGTCACCAGCGGGAGGCCCCTGCAGTACCCTCTCCCCACTCAGAGGAACAAGTCCGTCTCCTCTACTCTTGCCCTCAACTCAGAGAGCCACACCCCCTTCCTCCACTGAAAACTAGGGACGCGCTACCGTCGCCTGTTCAACACTCCGCCCCCAAACACCTGAGAGATCCGACACCCCTGCTCTTCCCGCAAAGCAGCGCGCTCCAGGTGTCGGGTACCGGCCTCCGCCAACTCCCCCGGGCCTTTACCGAGTTGCTGGTGGGAACCGAAGCCCGCGTAGTCCGGAGGTCGCGGCGCCAGCGCGAAAGGAACCAAGCTGGTCAGGAAGAAGAGACACTGCCTCATGTTCCCGGCCCGGCCACCGGCTCCACCTCTCTGGGCAGCCTTCGCCTGACGGGGGTCCGGATGACCGTTCACATTGGGGCGAGGAGGGAATCGGCCCAGCCCCTCAAACCTCTTCTCCCTCCCGCGCCGCCTACCGGGAAGACTCTAAAGCCAGGCTCGAGGCTCCCG